GAAGCAGAGTAGAAGCAGTGAGTAATATACAGTAAACTCTTGTTTGGTGTTTCGCCTCACTAATATGCCTTTTTTGGCACTGTGTCTCGTGGATGGCGGCTGCTTATGGTTTGGTACCTGGCCGTTATCTTTATATAAAGCCCTGAGCCTCACCTGTGTGTTCGGGGGGTACACACCCATAATTGTCCTGAACACAGAAAATAAGAAGAAAATTAGAACATACAGACAAAGGGCAGAGTCTCTGCAGAAAAACATACCACCACACACTTCTAGTGGGTCATAAAAGATGATTTTAAGGGATCTCTACTGTATAAGTTCATGACTTTTAGGAAAATCCTGCATAGTACATCTGTAAGTGCAGTATATGAGTAGGCCTATATATTTTTTCCACCACTGCAAACAGCAACATAATGCTCAAAAACAATAATGAGTCTCAGTTATTTGAACTTCTATTACTCAAGCGCAATTCAATCAACCCCCAACTTAAAAGATGGGACAGGCTTTTGCTCTCCTGGCTGCAAAAACTGTGACAAAAATTCAGTATTCATGAGCTTTTTGATCATAGTAAACCACCTCCTGCATTTTAAAATCTCCGTCATTGAGATTCTGCACACTCTTGGCAGGCTTCCATTCACATCTCATATCTTTTGATGGAGACCTTTTCAGAACCCCAGTATAAATTTAATCATGAAATAACAGCCCTCTTTATTGTTGTGTCTCAGCCCCAACAGCTGAACAGTAGATAAAAGATGTAAAACGTCCCAGTATTAAAATGATCTATGGCACAAATTTCAAGCTCTGACCTTAAATCAAAAAAACACAAACTATTGTGTTTGCCTTCTGTGTATAATTAATTTTGAACAAAACGATGTAGGATTTGAAGTGAGAGATGCATTAGTTGGGTCAAAAACAGTATAAGCTGCAGCTTTGGTGCCAATATATTTCAGTTAAGTTGATTTCCAGGAGAACTTTGAAGACAATTTATGGTGGGTATGTTGAGACTGGGATATGGAGTAAATGTTTCTCAATGAGGAACTGCTCTGAGCTCTTCAGGTACCAATCAATTACAGAGTTTTAAATCATTCTAACAGTTTCAAGCTTTCATTTTCAAATCTCATATTCTATAATCAGACCCACACCGTCAAGAGGAGACAATCAATGAGCCCATTAATCCCCTTCAGAGAGTCAAGATGACATTTTCTTCAGACTTTCAGTAAGTGTGTATGAGAGAGAAGAAGGGGTAGATAAAGGGTGGATGGAGAGGACTGAATACAGAATGAGAAAGAGACAGAGAAGAAGAGAGAAAGTAGGAAGAGGATGTGGTTATCTCTCTCTTCTTCAAAGCCTGAGGTGCAGGCTCAAGTGAGGATGTGTAGGAGTTTTTTGTGTCGACTAAATCTGCTGCTCTCTATCTTTTGCTCAGCTGCCTTTATCTATCTCTCTCCTTCCTTTGCTTTCTTTCCCACTCTCTCGCTGCCTTTATGTTCCTCTCTTAACATTTTCCATCCACCTCTTTTTCCTCTATCCTATGTGTTTTTATTCCTGTTTTTATTCCTCCAAATGTTGGAGGATTCCTTGCTTCAATCCTCCAACATTTGAGGTCAAGGTTCAACAATACGTTGACCTCATCCTTCACTGGAAACAACAGAGTGTCATGTGAGGCATTGCCAGGGGAATCCATAACCACTGGGGAAAAAGCGATGGCCCTCTATCCATGACAAAAGCTGTCAGTCAAAGCTCACTCTGAATCCCTGCCAGCACTGATGGATGAACCAGCACTCTCCAGAGAGATTTATGGAAATGGTAAAAAAAGGGGACTGTGTTTAGTCATGTTAGTCCGACACGTGAAATAAAATGTGCTTTCATTCGTCTCCCCTCTTCCCCTTCACGCCACAGTAATCACATCAAATGGTCCTTGATTATTATGGCAGAGAAAGCTGGCTGACTCAGGACGGAGAGCAGAAGGAGCAAAATGAATACAGATGGAAACTGGAGAGGTGGATTCTCCAGCGCCCAGCTCTGAGAGTGTCAGTGCAGTAATTAAACATATCAAATATTAACAAATTATTACACCCATGTCCATCTGACTGGAGTCTATGTGCTTGACATGATGAGCACTAATTGGCTCTGATGTTAAGCAATAATGTGTAACAGTACCAACAGGGTGACCTAAATACAGAAGCAGCTCCATGACAATAACTGTGCTAAAGGTAGGGGTCTGCACACACAAGGATGGCTTCTTGCAATTTATTTCTGTTCATCAGCTTCATCTAGTAGCCTAGTTTTGACGGTCAGTTGGGAGCTCAGAGTTGGACCACTGTATCCTTCACCTTCACTGCTTAGTGGGAACACTCAGAACTTGCTTTGATTGACTGTCCTTTACCCTCTGAGGACGAAAGGACTAGCATTGAGACATTGCACACAACTCTTTTCACCTTCTTCTTTTTAATCTGAATCCATGTTGTTCCTCGGGGTTATCCAACTGCGGCACAGCTTCAATACACTGCAATTATACATGCCAGCAGAGGCTGTCACAGGCCCCCCCTGAAATCTTATTGGCCACCCCGTTGCCTCTCATACCAGAGCAAGAAGGTGATAGTTGGCTTCTTATCATCAGAATCTCAGTATGAAGCATCTGTTAATTTTTCTTGTGGGGAAGTCAATCAAAGAACCAGAAAACCCGACCTGTTTGGGTGTGTTGTTTCTTTGTAGGTGGGATGGGGTCCTCTTACATGTCCGTGTCATAATCTGTCCATGGCTATAGGCTATTTAGAGTAACAAATAGCAGCTATTAATATATATTACTTCATACTACAATATCTAAAGTTTTTTATTTAGCATTGATTTGTCACACTGAATAAAGATGATAATGTACAGTTAATTATTGCCAAGGACCAGGGCTTTACATTTCAGTTTAGAGGGACAGTTCACCCCAGAACCAAAATGCATATTTTTCCTCCTACCTGTAGTGCTATTTTTCAATCTAGATTGTTTTGGTGTGAGTTGCAGAGTGCTGGGGATATCAGCTGTGGAAATGTCTGCCTTCTCTTGAATATAATGGAACTAGATGGCACTCGGTTTGTGGTGCTCAAGGCACTAAAAAATACCTTCGGATAACTCAAAAGCAATGTCTCTCTCCAGAAATCATGACCTGGTATCTCATCATAATCCACAGATCTTGTTGTGAGCGGTTTAATGTAGGAACTATTTTCTTTCTACCGAACCACACCCGCCAACGGGATTTATACCAACGGACGGGGATTTGACCAACACAAGTCGAGTGCCATCTAGTTCCATTATATTGCAGAAAATAATGAAATAATATCTTTGGGGAATGATATATAGTTATGCAATAGAAATACAAATTGTGTGTGTGTGTGTGTGTGTGTGTGTGTGTCTGTGTGTATTTCATCAAAGGCTGTTCATATTTGAAAGAAAGCAGTAGCCCCATCTGTGCATGATAATTTTGTTTGTGTTGAGCACACCAGGCCAAACAAGGATTCATCATTCATCTATTCACAGAAAGGAAGCCGGATCAGTGAGATCCCATAAAAGACAACACACAACAATGTATCACAGTTCATCCCTTTGACCCGGATGTACCCACAGCTGGACCCACACTGAATGGAGATCAGATACTGTCCTACTGAAGTAGCCGCCCTTGTTTGCATCATCGCTTGTGATGATGGTCTACTTTCTATCTCCCTTTGAGTTGCTAATGAGCTCTCCAGAAGCGACAATTATGAGTGGATGGTAATGAATTTGCAGATTCATACACAATGAAACACCTGTTGTCTGTGGGTGAGAACATCAGCAGTCTAAAAACAAGTGGGATATCACGTGGCTTTTTTAGATCAGATATGTTATCCAGCCAGAGTCAGCCAGATTTCTTTGTCATCCTGAATATGCCCAGCAGGTGGCAACGTGTTTAACACCAACTAGAGCACCGGTATCCAAAATGAAGTCTGCAAAGTCTTGGGAGGGCTTTTTTCTTGCAATTATTGCATTTTTAACTGCAATTTCAATTACTGCATTAGGCAATCAAATGTGGAGTGGGAGAGGGGTGGCTTCTGGGGCTCCATCCCCCCAATGTTTTCAAGGACTGAATCTTATAGGTTTTTAAAATACCTTCAACTTTGTGCCATTCAGATAATAATATATACATGTTTTTGTCTTACTATACACTACAGTCAGAGCAGCCCAGATTATTATGGGATGGATCAAATGATTTGTCAGCTAAATATCCATTCTGTGAACTGCATTCCAGCATAGTATAACAGAAATAGGTTTCAAGATTAGTAATGCTGTTTATTATAAGTTTTGCCTCCTTCTAGATGGCAGGAGTTAAAGATATTCATCCTCACCATTTGTTTGCTATGGTTTGATGAAGACAAGTTAGAGAGCAGTTAGACAAAAAAATAGTATGTAGGCTTTACAGGATGATTTTTTCCTTGGCAAGTATTATATTTTTCTCAGATGTAGGCTACAGATTTTTAGGCATTCTAGTATCTCAATTGGCTTGAAAAATAGTACATATAGCTACTGTAATGAGGAAGTATATGTCCCCGACCCACCCTAGGCTGAGCCCCGAATGTTCACAACATCTGGTTCCGCCCAGTAGTTCACTACAGCTGTCAGTATGTGTTTATCTATGCTGGAGCGCGAACTGCACCTGTTCGCATATGCTGCTTTTAGGTGTACCACGTCCATTTAGTAAATCAGATGACTCGCCAATGAAGAGAAACAAAGTGGGTCTAAGTTATGTGTTGATGCAGTTGAAGAGGGTTTTTTCATCAGGCAGACGACTGATACTTAGTATCTTAACTGTAATCCATCCCAAAATTAAACAATAGACACAACATTTAAAACATAAAAAACGGTACCAGTGATGTATTTACAACTTAATTAGAAATGCAATTTTCCCGACTGCACTTGAAGTGAGCACAAACTCCTGAGCCGCCTCCCAACAATGAGCAACTTTTCCCTCTTTGCACTGAGGAGACGTGGGACGCTCGGGATGGGATGAGGTGAAAAACAGCGAACAAAAATGTGAAAAGAGTGGGAGTTGTGATTTAGAAGATTATTATTTCCTTATTAACCAATAAGGAAAACATGGCGAATTCAAGTTCTCCACAGGAGGCTTTTAATTTGACCTCTCCTCAGGCTCACCGCGCTGAGATCCTGGAAAATCCACTCCGGGTAGGTTGGTTTAAGTTTCAGACTGTTTGGTTTGTGAAGTTTATACAGAGTGCAACATAAAATAAATGTGATGTAAGATAGTTGTCTTGGGTATATTAGAATAAATGCTGATTATTTCGGAGATTGGAGAATAGAGGAATACATAATATTGATAAAACCACGAATATTGTGCATTACACCAACTTTTTCTTTTTTTTTAATCACACAACTAATTTTAAGAGATTTTTCCACCTTTAGATGAGAACTTTTACAAGAAGAGGTATTAATGTATTGGTCTGTAAGTACATTTTGCCATTTAAAGATTTAAGAACTCTTAAATGCAAGAACTCTTAAATGCAAGAACTAAATGCTTCGTAAAAATATTGAAATAAAAAGTGCATAGTGCAAAAAAGTGCAAGCATTTTATTTTCCAAAATGTCTCTGAACAAGGCCAGTATTAGATCAGTTGCTTCCTTTGCTTACTGTATGTGTGATATGAATCATGCTGAACCTGTTTCAACTGTTCAGCTGCACTGCAACACTCAGAGCTGAGAGGAAGTGATAAGAGGAAAGTTTGGCCGTTTATCCTTTCTCTGACTTTCAGGAGCTTCCCTCCCTGAACTCAATTTGGAGCAGGAGGTTAGACACTAATGTCAGAGAGGAGATTAAGTTAGTCAAAAAAAAAAAATTGTAAGTCAAAATCTAACCTCAGCCTGTAAAGCTCTTTGGTTAATGAGCACTCAGTGTGGATGAGGAAGCCAGACAGTGCAGAGATCTATCGGTGTTGGCACTTGTCACAACTATTCTCTAAAGTGATCGTGATTACGTCATTGTGTTGAAAGGCCTTTTCTTTCTCTTGAACTTTTAACTTTGTGAGTGGACTCTCCTTACTCTGTGCATTAAGTTGAGTATGCGCACATGTGTTTGTGTATGGTGATATAAAGTCTCTCTCCTCCACTGTGGGTCTGGCAATGCCCTGTTATGTATGTGTCAGCCCTCTGCCCTCCTACTCTTCTGCAGACACACATTCTCCTCATGCTCATCTTCCCCTGTCAGTGTGTTTCTCTCTTTCTGCCATGTTTCCTGTTTGACATTACCAACAGGGGGCAGAGAGAAAGAGAGAGAGAGAGACAGACAGAGGAGGAATGAGAGGCGTGAGTAATGAGTAATGGCCCATGGGTGGGTTGTGAGAGAATAGATCTACTGTAAGAGTCCTGAGCAGCTGGCTAATGGTCCCAGCTACCCACCATCCCAGAGAACATCCCGACATCCAGGGGACAATATCTGCCTGTCTCACACTTTGACTGCCTCACAGAGCTGAAAATGTTTGTACTGATGGACTGAAAATGTTGATGTTCAAGTACACCAAGGTTGTACCATTGGTTGGCTTGCCTGTTAGGAGATGAGGAGGAGTCATCCACATGTCCCCCAGAGATGACTGACTCTGGTGATGTTCGCTAATAGTTGGAACATCTCTGACACTCAGTGGTTCATAATTTCATCCATGGTATGTGCAGTGGTGAAAGGTAGATACAATGGGCCCCAGTGGATGCTATTAGGAGGGGCCCTAGTGTATGCTATTAGTTTTGAAGCACATACACACCATGAGATGTCTTTTCGCACTGCCTCTTTTATGTTTGAGAGGCATGATTGCTCGCTCAGCCTGCGGATGTGCTCAGCTTCTCAGTCTTGACAGATTTTTCTTGCCTAATCTTAATACTGTATATCATATCGTCATGTGATCAAATAGAGACTTGACATTTAACAACTCAAACATACATATTTCCCAGCAATAATCATTGCGTATCTGTATATGACAACATACCAAAAAAGAGAGAAATTATTAATTTAACTGAATTGTTTTTATAGTTTATGTAGAATAAGCATATCATTTTGTTTTGGACTGCCACAGACTAAATCATGACAGAGATGAGTTTGCACTGTTTTTAATTTAATGTGAGTAGTTTGAACCAGCGTATTACAGTTTTGTATTTTCTCGTAAGTGTTTATTTTTCTTTTGTTTTGAATTTTTGTTTTCAATTCAGTTGAGTTTTACTTAGTTTTCAGAGTTTTACTTTAGTTTCAGAGATATGCTGTGTATTTTTTTTTTATTTTAGTTAGTTTTGTTTTTACACTGTATTGTTTAAGATAGTTTTTGTTTGTCTTTATCTTAAGTCTAGTTTTTATTTTTATTTCAGTTGCTAAAATATTTTCACCCCTAGGTCAGCTTTTTAGTTTAGTTTTAGTGAACTTTACTTTGTGTATGTACAGACTTTGAACACAGGTGAGGTAGCAATTTGAATCAATTGCAAGGGCCCATTCTCTGCCCAACACATTTTTGAAGGGCCTGCTCTCTCTACAGGCCCCCCCACCCCATGGGCCCCAATGCAACCGCACCAATGGTGCTGTCTATATTCACGCCCTTAGGAATGTGATTAAGTCTAATGAGTTAAGCTTGTGCATAATTTGCTTCAGAAGCGACTGTGCTCCGTCAGACTACATTGTCAGTTTCCATGGGTGAAGGTGAAGAAGGTGGGTGATGAAACTTCACCACTGAAGAAAACATTTTCACAGAAATAACTCTGCAACAAACTTAGCTACATCACTGTACTGAGTTGATATTTCATCTTTGTGCAAGTAGTAGATATGACAGTCAGTCTGTCTGTCCATCACTTTGGTCCAGAGACAGCTGTTTTTCACAGCTATTGGTTCCATGTATTTCACCATGGATATTCAGGTTCCCCAGAGAATTAATGTGAATAACCTTGGTCACCCCCCTGATAGTACTAATTGTGCCATTTTCCATCCAAACTAAATGTCTTGTACACAAGATATATAAAAATGTAAAAGGCAATTTGCCATATAATGTTCTAGGTACTTTCTTGCTCCCAGGGCAATAAATCATTTTTATTTTAATGACCCCATTTCTCTTCTTATCCCTATTATTAGTAAGGTTATTAGAAAAGCAAATTGTGAGCATGTTGTTCATCCTGTCCTTTGTGTTTTGTATTGGATGTACATTACTTCCTGGAAAGTATCATCTGATCTTGATCGCAGTCTACTCACAGCTTTAGGTAAAACTTTAGCGAGGGATGCCCACTGGAGATTTTTGTGAGCTTGTTCTTATTGCTTAAATTTGCTGTAAGGCTAATAATTTGCATATTTTCATATAATCTGTCATTAAGACTGCCCTAATAAAGTAAGGATGCCAAGAAATATATTTCCATCCTTCTCTCTGTGCTGTTCTCTTCCTCACCCATCTTTGTCTCTGAGCTGAGCCTCTGCTTCTTCTGTACACACCACCTCTGAGCAGAAACTGACAGGCTTCATCCAGAAATCAGCCCATCCCAGGGAGGGACAGATCCCCATTGTCACTGGACACAAAGGGCCATGCTGTCTATCTGTCTGTCTCTGGGTCAGCGTCCTGGTGAGGAGGAGGAGGAGGATCAGTGCTGTCAGTCCCTCCATCAGCTTTAAGGCCCATTCAGCTTCTGTTGCTCCAGCTCTATTTTAGATTCAGGCAGGAGATTCAAACTTAGCAGCTGTATACTTTGCAGATTGTTCAAAGTTCGGTGTTGTGATCCAGTGATTACAGTTTGCTCTCTGCAAGAACACGCTTGTGAAAAATTGCTTGTCACTACAGTTGCATGCAGTATGGATGATAAATATCCTTACAAGGTTGGATGTGGGGTGCAAGATTAAGATAACAGTAAGAATATGAATTAGCTTTAAGATAAAACATGACGCCTGCAAGTTTAAAGATGTAATGTGTGCATGTCTGTTTGTATTTAGAGTCCAAAGTCCTATAATACACCTAACACTACTTTTAGGGGGTGAAAATGTGTTGGTAAAGTTTGTACCTTGAGAGTGATAAACCTTCAGAAGGAAATTACTAGAAACTCAAACAGACTTCATCTGTGACATTTATTTAATAGAATTTACATTTAAAAGATACAGCGTATCGGTGATCCCACTATATAAACAGAAAAACTGTAGTGGACGAAATTTGACACGTGTCCGTGATCGTGCCTCGATGATAAATGTGCTCATGCAGTTCCCAGTTTTTCTGCTGACTTAAGCGTATCTTGATACTGATATTCAAACTCACTTGCCCGCTGCAGTTGGACTCCTGTTTGAGTTTGTGTTATCATGAATTTTAAGTGCTGAGTAAAAGCACTCGGGGATCTTTTACTTGATCTGTTTCCTGGTTTCCTCGCAATCGGTATCAGTGTCAGGTTAAAGAATCCAATTACCTTCTCTGAATCTCACAGTAATTTTGCTGTTTCTTGTTAAGACTCTGGCGGCATGCTGCTCAGAGTCTTTGTCATTGTGCGGTGTTGTTTGCCAGTTAAGCTGTCAGTTCTTGGGTGTCAATTGTTCTCTGGTGACATTTTGTGCAATCAAATCCCACTTTGTAACAAATTAATTACATTTTGACAAAGCTAAAAGAAAGCTGGAGTATAATTAGCTTCCTCATGTGGCTGTCCTGGAGCAACCCTGCAATTACAGGAGACTTTATCAAACACACAAACCGGAGTGGTAAAGGAAAACTCCACCTTAAAACAACAGGATAACTGTTTGAATATAGATCCAGTGGTGGAAGAAGTGCTTTACCTAAGTAAAAATAGCAATACCACAATTTGAAAATACTTTGTAAGGGTATGGTCACACACATGAGCGATTGCAGGTGAGTGACCATTGCTTGCTGAGGGGTTATTTGTGCTGAATTTGGGTAGTGCTGGATTTGATGCACACAGAGAGCTAATTTGCTAGCGAGTGTTAGCTACCTTGCTAATAAATACTACGAAATATGATGTTATTGGTACATTTTCAAATTTCTTACGTCCCATGCCTGTCTCCTGACCATAGACTGTATAAAATAATGGATGTAGCTGCTGTGATGTCAACCTCTGGTTTGTGGACTCTTCTTTTAAGTGACAAGTTTGGCATTTTGGCCATCGCCATCTTTGTTTTCGAAGCCAGAAGTGAACATATTTGGATGAAAGGTTGGAGCTGTGGAG